ACTTAAAGGGAATGTCTACCATGAGTTCCTTGCTATGACACATCCTGCTGCAGGAGAAAAAAGATTTAACAAGTGGACTGATGTATAAAAAAACTAGAGCATGGAAGTTTGGGGAATAGTAGGGTTGCATGGAGCCGCCATCCGGGTTTTGTCTTCCATTCACTGGGAAAACCAGACTGTCTGTCTGTGGGAAATAGCTTCACTTCTGTCCAGATGTCCTTACTCCAGTTTTTATACATTAGCTCTGTGGAGAAACTCCCCTACCCCTTTAGTATGACTGGAAAAGGTAAGCAGACCTATATACTCACATACTGAGATCCCACTACAGCAGTCTGTCACAGACATAGGAGGCCAGGGGAGAAACCAGCCCACCAGCATTTATGCAAACCAGAATGTTTTGGTTGAACTATGTTACATTTTGTAAAAGCATAGCACCTTAACTTGGCTTCATAATGGCCATGTATACAGACAAAATCTTGAGCATGGGAGGGATTTTACTGCCCTTTGGCATCTGCCCATAACTAAAGTAATGTTTTGGATGGACTTGGCCTTTGAACGGTGAAAAAATATGTGGATAAACAACTATTTTAAAGAAGTTTTAAGACAAAATAAATTATTATTTTACCCAGATATAGAATATTATTTTATTTTATACCTAATGTAAATAAGAAACAAGAAATTCATATACAATTGGCTTACTTGAAGAACCGCCTTAGTTGCCATTGTTCTTTTCTACCTGACCAGTCTTATTCCTGCATAACAATTAATGGACTTGACTGCCAACAATTTAGCAATTAAGCAAAATGAGTATTTGGGCTGAATTCATACTCCCTGGTCCCCAGGCCACTTGTCTTGTGCTGCTCCAATCCTACCCCAGTCCACAAGCTAGCCTCACTATCCTTCTAACAAACTCATGTCATAAAAGTCACATGGGGGATGGAGAGGATGGCAAGGTTAGGTTTGTTTACCCACTCTTTGTCAGCACACCTAGGACCAATAAATAGAAGAGATGGCCAAAGTGACATTTGTTTTGTCATAAGAGGGTAAAATGTAAGTACAAAGAACACTAGTAGACTAAAAACAAATGCACAAACTGTGCAAGGACAACAATAAGGACCTATACACAGAAACCTTTTATACACAGAAATGTGTTACTGACAGTCAGCAATATGAAGTTTGAGTGGCTGTTAGCTCCCCTTGGCAGCCCTGTCCCCCAAACCATGGTCTAAGTTGGCTAAGCAAGATTCTGACCCTCATGGGGATGATATTATATCTGCTCACTGATAAGACACTATATTAGGGGTAGGCAACTTTGGTATTAAGGATGCACCAATACTGATACTAGTATTGGTATCAATACTCACCCAAATTCTCCTATACGTACCTCAGATACTGGAACTTCCAGTCAGAGGGAGATCTCCCTCTGATCACAAGTGCCCGAGGGAGCATGGAGCTGGCTTTCTTTCCAGTCAGGAAGCTGGGCGGTGGGTTATGACCCGCCTCTCAGCTTCCTGATTGACAAGGAAGGTGGCTTCACTTGTTGCTAGGCAGCCTGGCTTCCTAACCAATCAGGAATCCGGGTGGCATGTAATGACCCACCTCCCGGTTGATCAGGAAGCCAGGCTGCCTAGGAACAAGTGAAGCCAGCTTCCTAGCCAATCAGGAAGCTGGAAGGCGCTTTGATGTGCCGCCCGGCTTCTTGATTGGCTAGGAAGCCTGCTTCACTTGTTGGTAAGCAGCCTGGCTTCCTACCCAATTAGGAAGCCGTGTGGCACGCCATGACTTGTGTCCCGGCTTCCTGATTGGTCAGGAAGTCACGCTACATAGCAACAAGTGATGTCGGCTTCCTAACCAATCAGGAAACTGGGAGGCACCTCAGGACTAGCCACACGGCTTCCTGATTGGTCAGGAAACCAGGCAGCCTTGCAAGTGAAGCCAGTGTTCTTTCGCTAGAACACTGGCTTCACAAGCAATCAGGAAGCCGGGCGGCAGGTCATGATCGGCCGCCCGATTTCCTGATAATCTGGACACACGGCACCGGTACTCTGTATCGGCGTGTACCGTAAAAAATATATCGGTACTCGATACCGAAAAACTGGTATTGGTGCATCCCTATATGGCACTCCAGCTGTTTTGCAACTACAAGTCTCATGAGGCATTGCGAGACTGACAGCTACTGGCATGACTCCCAGAAGCAGAGGCATGATTGTATTTGTAGTTTCACAACAGCTGGAGTGCCGAGGTTGCCTACCCCTGAGATATATATATATATATGTATGTATATATATAGATATTACATAAAAAATAGATGTAGAATATACATTCTTTTGTATTCTATATATTTATTTTACTAAATGTCCTTTTCCTCTCCTGGCACTAGTTTTCCATAATTTCTATCAATCTTATTTCAGTTGTGTAGAATTTTTGGTTTCTTTTGTCTCTTTTCCTCTAGGGTTAGTGCATCACTTACACCTGACATGAGCTAATGAGTCATTAATGACAGCAGTACAAAAGGTTCATTGTACTATACTATTCATCTAACCTATTTAATAATATGAATCTCTTTTATTATTTCTTGCTTACTACTCTCAGAGGAAACCTATATGTCAGATGGATCTACCATTGCATAAGTCTGCCTACTACATTTTATTAGTCTCATAAAGCAAATATATAGTCATATTATACTTGATAAACTGTTAATTACATTGTATTGCTGCCTGCAGGTTGTAACTGCTTTCTTTTACAGCACCCTGGAAGACCAGAAACCTAAGATTGGTCACTTATGCATATAGCAGTCAGTTCCCATAGTCATGGGCTCAGGCTTGCCCTTCTTGTACCTAACTATTGGTTATGAGGCCACCAACCATCCCAGTGAAAGGCTAATAGGGAGGCAGGAATAGACAGGCCAGAGCCCAGGTCCATACTAGCCACTCTCAGACACCCTAGAAGAAAGCAGAGCAATGTGCAGATACTCGGAGATGCCTAGTGTAAAATGTAAGTTTACCAAGAACATAAATGGCTCCAAGTATACAAAGAAAAAATAGTCAATCATAACAAAAACATTTGTATAGTTTTTAATAGAAAATCTTTTTAGCGCACTGATTATAACCTATTAGAAATTGTCTTTGTGTTTCTAAAGCTGGGAGAACTGCTGATATTAGCTGACTTCAAAACCCAACAGCAGAACACTGGTTGGGAGTGCCTGTCCTGCTCTAAGATCTGTATGACCAGTGTAAGCTATGCTGGGTCTGTGCCCACCCTCACATTTCATGATTAGGGCATGCTAAGGAGGAATAGCCAAACACAGCTTTATTTGTTTTTATGAATGCTGTCAGAGGCAAGGGGCATTATGATTACTAAGTACTATTTTATTTGCTCAAATTAGATTGTTGTTTCTCTAGAATTGCATTGAATGTACATTACATGGTCAGTTTAATTGTAATAAATGCACAGCACTTTCTTTTTTTCCACAGCACAATTGGTTCACAAGGTTATAAAAAAGCATGTCAATAATTTTCTTTCTACACAGTATTTACTGACATTTGCTGTTATTTTAAGAAACTGAAAAGCATCTATGGTATGAAAAAAAGTTCTAAAGTTCTAGATTTTGATGTACCATATATGATATAAAATTATATTATATTGTTTCAGCTTGTATTTCATTTCACCTTTGTTTCACCCCCCTTTATTTTCCTAGCCAGACTGGTTAACGCTGTGTATTTCTAATAGCAGACTTCCATCACTGAAACAATGCAGCACCTTAGCAAATATGTCAAGGTATTCCTTTCAATCAATATATCAACCACTTTGTAGTAGTATGCTTTGAGTTTTATAACTGTTTGGGATGTTGTCATTGGTTTGTATCAGTGTTAAATGAGAAAAAGAGAGCGGAGAGTAATATATTTTTCATGTACATGACTAGAATTATGGTTTATTACTGGTAGCAAATAACATTACAGACTAATATCTAAAGTAATTGGCTTTTGGTAATTGAGAAACAATGGCAAAAATCCAATTCATGTATTTGTTTATATTTCTTATACTTGCAAGAAGAGTGAAAAGTGATTGTTGGGGAAATTTACATTTCAATTGAAAGCACACTTACTAACAGTCACAGATTCCTGTGTCACCAGTTGGTGATCTTGGTCAAAATGCTCAAAATTCAAGAGTATGTATTAAAGTAAATCTAAAGACAAAATGTTTTTGTTGTTTTAGGATAGAGTAGTCAATAGTTCATACCCTTTTTTTTCTTGCATCTTTTTTTCTTTGCTTTGCCTTACTGCGGAGATTTTCCTTTACTTTCTTTCATGAGACACAAAAATAAGTAAGTGGAGTTCTTTTCAAAGTAAGGAAAATACTCTCTTAGACAGTTGTCACTAGAACAAGTGCCCGCTTTGGACGACTCCCCCTCTATTCCTGTCTATGTGACAACTCAGAATGTCAGATTTTCTCTCACTTTCACTCTCACTTTCATTCCCGGTGTCATTGGTTACCAGGATTTACAGAGAGAATAAATCTCCCCAGTATGGAAACATACATAATAAAAGCCTGTCAGAGGTTTGACTGTTGTCCAGTCTATCCAACAAAAAATAGGCTTTAGATAGACTTTCATTTTCTTATTTGAAAACTGATCTATTAGCATTGATGCCAATGCATTGCATGGGCTATTAGTTAAAAATATATATTCCTTTAAAAAGACTCCCAAATATGTACAATCCTCTGGGAATTGACAAAGTCATGATTCCTCCCCAGACAGGAAGTTACCAAACCAACAATTACCGATCAGGTCTTCATGAAAAATAGCTAACGGGAAACACAGTCCAAGACATTGTAAATAATTGTACACATCTTTCATACTCTGAAGCACTTTGTAAATAAAAGGTATGGGTTATAAAGTAATCACAACAAAGGCAGTAGAAACAAGATAAAAAAAGATGAGATAATTACCTCATGATTTTAGCAACATTAATACATCGTCTTTGTTTATGATGACAGTTGCCATTTCTATTTTTTTTATTTCATCATGTGAGCAAGCAAACTGTAAATTAGTATTAATAAAATAATTGTGCTATAATCCCTTTTGAACTAATAGTATTAGTTTCTTCAGACTCAAATGCAATGTAAATTTAGTGTGATAATAAGAATGGGTCAAATGCTACCGATGTCATGAACGTTAACAGGTTGTCTAGTCTAAGTCCTTTTGGAGTTCCGCTGAAGGTCTAGCTTCTTCACTGGTTGGTGTTTTTTCTTTTCTGCCCCGTTGTGTTTTGAAGTACCACAGATTCCCATTAGTAACAAAAAGCAGTGTTTTCAGTCAGCAGGTTAGGCTTAGTTCACCATGCTTCATGTCCTTCCACATAGGAAACTTTGGGGTCTGGATAGCCATTGAGGGCACTGTTCCGTTAAACACATGCTAAACATAACATTTTGTAATTTTCCAAGGAAAACTATTTAGTTGCATATTGTTCTGTAAGAAATGGTTTGTGCTTGGCACGAACAAAAGTTAATCCTCCTCCTCTTCCTCTATGACTACTACAGGAGGCTTGTCTTGAACTCTGAAGCATTCTTCAAAGAAATTCACAATGGACTTGTGCAAGTGCTGTTCCATCAATGGGGTCTTCATATAGTGGTTCTCATCTGGGTATATCTGTAAGGAAAAACATAATTAAAGTGGAAATATACTCTTAAAGTTTGTGGACACATGACAATCTCCCCTATATGAGCGTGTTGGACATCCCATTCCAAAACAAGGTGCACAGAACGAAGCACAGCAATGCTATGTACATTGAGATAAATATTAGCATACAAAGACATTTTTAGACAATTGTGGGCTTCCAAACTTATGTCAACATTTCTGAGAAGCTTTTACAAGACTGTGTCCCTGTGCACAAAGTTTGTTCCATAAAAACAAGGTGTGATGAGTTTAATGTGAAGGAATTTCAGTGACCTGCACAGAGCATTTAACTCTATGGAAGGCCAATTGTGAGCCCAGTTCTCTCATTCAAAATCAGTATCTGACCGTACAAATGCTCTTTTTGTTAAACAGCCACACTTTCTCACAAACAAACCCTAACATTTTATGAAGAGAAAAGAGGAAGCTGTTATAGCCACAAGGGGGATGGAGGCAACTTAATACTAATGTCAATTATTTTTTATGGAATGTCCAACAAGCAATAGGTGTTGGTCATGTGTCCACAAACATTTGGTCATATACACATGGAATCAGTCAAGTTAATGTAAGAAATGGGGTTGACTTACTAAGGAAGTAAAGGCTGTTTACTTAGCAAAGTGATTGATAGTAAATAATGTGAACATGCGTTCACTTTAAATACCCAATCATGTGCAAGGGATGTTCTAGTGTCTATATACCTTGAACAAATTTTGCAATGTCTACAGTATATGCAACGGCTAACTCCACAATAACTTAATAACTATATTTGCCAACTTAAATAATTTTTACATTGTTTAAGGACATATATGTATTAGATACAATGTTTTAATACATTTCCTGTTCATGTTTTTTCTTATACACTGACAAATGAACAAAAATGTTTTTTTTAAATGCAATTTAGGTGATATTATACTTAAAAGTTTTAAATAAAATGTATTATATATATATATATTCCTTATTTATCATGATCAGGACTGAAATAAATATCATCTAAAAGACATTTAAAGTAGGCAGATCCTCCATGGGGAAACCTATACCCATACAAAAATTCTTCTCAGTAGAAGTGAGCAGTGAGGAACCAGGTGTCACCCCAGTTAATTATCTTCCTCACTTATTAGTTTAAGGCATAAATAGTTTTGGTTTTTGTTTAGGCAGACGTGTGTGTGTGTGTGTGTGTATATATAGTGTTCTTTCTGCCAACGAATGGGTTCTTTTTTTTTTGCATTTTTTTCTACTTCCTAGAAGATTTGGACACAAACAAAAAAGCAATTGGCCAGCCAAGTATAACCCCACCTCAAAAAATATTGAAATCACCTTGGGAAGAAATGAAGCTCTAGGCCTCAGGACCATTTTGTCCTTGTGTAAGACTAAAAAGAGTTATTTACCATAAAATGCTGCTAGCTCAGACACATGCTTGCATGTGATGGCAACAAGGAAAGCAATCTTGTAAGTAAGAATGGATAGGGGAATATCTTTGATAGGTTCAAAAGGCTGTTTTTGAAAAGACAATAGAGCTAAATTAAAATCCCAGAGGTTGTACAGGAGGAACTACATGGGAAATCGCCTGGGTCAGTTGGATACTATGAGAATCACTGGACTTCCCTCCATCTCAATCCTTGAGATAGAGTAAACAGAGGCCCCAGAGAATCCACTGCTTCTGGCAGAGGATCTCTGCACTTGGAGACAAACCTGTCCAGTTTGTTGCTGAATCTACCTGCGACACAGGTCCAGGTGTAAGAACCATTTCTCTGGGTCCAGTCACTGCCGGATGAAGTAGTCTGCCTGCCAATTGATCATGCCTTGTATGTGAACAGTGGACAAGACAGGAACTTCGAGCTCTGCCAAGACTAGAATACTTTATTTCTCTTTTGTCAAAGCCAAATTGTGGTTCCTCCCTGATGGTTGAGGTATGCTACAGCTCTGGCCTTGTCTGACTGAATTCTGATCAGATGACCCCAAAGAAGGGGTATGCAATGTTGTAGGGATAGCCACATTGATGAAAGCTAAAGAATGTTGATTGGAAGATAGGATTCCCCTGGTGTCCTCAGCAGAACCCTTCCCCAGCCATTTGGACTGGGATCATCGTGTGGATTATCCAAGAGAGAGTGAGGAAAAATTTCCCAGACTCCAGAGTTGTATTCCTAAATCACCAAGCCAGAGACAATCTGGTCTTCAGTATCAGGTGAGTCAGATTGTCCAGAGACAGAACAAATTTGTCCCACAATGACAGAATGTTGTGTTGATGGGGTCTGGCGTCAAACTGGACAAATGGTACTGCTTTGAAGGGGGCTACCTTCAACCCCCTGCATTAATGCAGAGTTAGATGTTTTTTGGATTGTACGGTCCGAGTCTGGAAACAGAGTTGGCAGGTTTTTTTTTAGGAAGAAAAACTTTGGCCTGGGTTGTGTCTAGATGAGACCCAGATATTCCAATCTACGTGTCGATTCCAGCATTGTCAGTCAGAATTTGAGCTGACTCTTTCCTTAATGAGAGTTTGTCTAGATATCCCACAGTGGAGATACCCTGGGAGCATATAATAGGTCTACCACTAGGGTCATGACCTTAGTTAACACTCAAGGTGCGGATATTAGGCCAAAAGGTACTCAATAGTTCAAGCTAAAATGTACACAGAACTGAATGAATCAGAGTGGAAACACAAATGGAGCCTCCAAGTAGGCAACATCTGCTGAGCTGTCTCTTTAGTTAATTCATACTTCTCTAGGAGTCCTTTAATTATCATCAGTCATGCATTAAATGCTCATTTGTAAAACATATAAATATTAAAAAGGGCAACTAAAATAAACTGGCCCAAAACCATTACTGTTGTTGTCTGTAACTGAAGCCATTTGCATACACCCTCTTCCTTCTACATTCATCTTTTATATATTTTTTGAAGAATGTGTGAATGAAAAACTCACATAATTCCCGTGAAAAATCTGATGTAGATGTTTGAAAAAAATGTCTATGTTAGCTATCTGGGTTTGCAGGTGTGGAGGAAAAAATGGCAATACTTACTGGAAATCCTTTGCTAATAGAGTCAGCCTTATTTGTACCATATTCTGTTAGGCACATATTTGATGTCTTTACAGAAAGCCACAAAGTCTCCTGAGATGCTACAAACACTTTTGCTGTGTCCCTTATCATACAGTTTCCTGATTAGGGACCAAGTAATAGGTTCCTAGCAATGCCCAATGATCTCTAGTTCATGATTTAAACTGTTTCGTGAGAGCTGATTCGCAGTGAAGTGAGGATTTACTGCATATAGTGGGGTTGATTTACTGAGTAGAAGCTGTTTACTTTGTTTCTATTGCATATGATTAGGATAAAAATGCATACACATTTTTTTCCAATGCAGTGCAGCAGAAATGGATCACATCGGTGCATTGTAGTGAGTTTGGAAGTCTATGTTAATGTGCACATCTATCATGCATTGCGTTAATGAGTGCATTTTACTGCACATTACGGCAATGTACAGATGTGAATCTGGCCTTAATCTCCCTCACACACATGCTTGAGTATTCAATGTAAGTAAAGGTACACCTTTATTTACCATCATTCACTTTGTTCCACAAACAGCCTCTTCTCATTTAGTAAATCAGCCCCTAGGTGTATTTACATGATCTCAGGGGCATTTGGTTACTCATATCATGTAATTAGTCTATGGATAGATATATGGTTAAAGAATTTCCTGCCCAAAATGGGTTAGGAGTCAAGATGTTAGGACATGTCTATCTCTACATGCTAGTGCAATACATGTTAATATGTTGATATACATGTTCTATTGCTCTTGTGCTTACAAATACCAATTTATAGAATTACTGTTTTGCCTCTATATAGTGCAACTGTATGTGCCATATTTTTGGCTTGGTATCATTAACTAATATTGGTGTTCTTCCCTGTAGGTTAATATGTAAGCCGTAAACCATAAAAAAGTACAGACAAATGTAGGCACCTTTCTCACACATCTTCTCTAAACATCCAGTCCATCACATAACAGTCTAAGAAACGAGTGCGCTTAGTATCTGAAGACAGTGTGTATGGTGCTAATTGACTACATCCGACACACATTAAAAATGACATTTTCTTATTTATCAGCTCACTTTGAGTTTAAGAGGATCATTATCCAATTAAAATTGTTGTATAATAAAGGTTAAAGCTATAAAGTGGAAATGCCAACCAAAGGCTTGAGTGATATAAATGATATTAATGATTTCATCAATAGCAGAGTTTACATCCTATTATAAGACTGATGCAGTGAATTCTGTAAGTGGTTTTGAGTTTGGTAAAAGTAAAGGGACATCCGCAGACCACACCATTGTGTTGTGGCCGAGAAAAGCTGGAAGGAGCCCAGCACTTGGTATTTTTAAGGGCCGTGTCAGATTCTTTGCTGCTACAAATCGCTCATGTCAGCAATTAAAAGCAATTTCTACCTAGTGATTTACTCACTGTAGTTGCTGGTGATTTGTCAGGAAGAAGCAACTTTTTAATGCTGAGCGACTGAGTTACGAAACGCTGCAAAATAAGCAAAATAAGGATAAGGCCTGACATGGCCCTTAAGAAACACATGCTAGGCTGAAAGTAGAGCACCACCACAGGCTCATAGTTTAGTTTTCCTTGAATACGTGTTGGAGCATTACAATGGCTTAAAAAATGTTGGGGATATATTTGTAAATATATACAGTATGTACATCTGTAGAGCTGCATGTACAGCTATATTTGGCTACTACATATGCAAGATCTGCTCCCCCATTAGTAGAATTGTACAATGATTGCTTCATTTGCTCCAGTACAAAGTCTTTGGCTCAGGTCTGATCTAACTGGAAGCAACATAATCTTTGTAAGAAGAACTGAATTGATCTTAGTAATCCTTAAAGACTTTTTGTAGCTGCAGGTACTGGAAGAAATGAATCCTCAACAATCACAACAGAATCTCTGAAGGCTTCTTTATTTCAGTTTCCAGCTTCTGCTGCCAAGTCCACGTCCCTGCTACCAGAGAAAATAAAGGCAGGGTAGCTAAAATTTCAGTGCCTCTGTTTTGAATTTTGAAGATGAATTTCTACACAGTGCCTACAGCTACAGAAGTTAGTGAATGTTTTTTTAAGTTTCAACTTTTGCTGCTTGTTAGGAATATGTAAATACTTAATGTATTCATCCTTTACAAATCTGTAAATGCAATAACCAAAATGTGAAAAAGCAAGCAAGTAAAATACTTCCCTTTAGGGAATTGTTGCAATAATAACTCGGGCTGTATATTTACTGAAAAGAAACCCTTTATTTTCCTTCTACCAGAAAACCTGATCATTCAGCAGCACAGGGCATGTCTGCTCATGTCAGTGGAATTGGCCAGGAAATAGGCTCTATAAACAGCTCGGAAAGGAAGGAAGACACTCACCAGTAAGGAATAATTGGCTTTGGCTTTCACTAAATTCGTTATAAGTTCCGCAGTGTGTTGGAAGTGGATTTTTTCTGTAAAATAAGATTAGTATCAGGAAAGGGGACAAATTAATTAAAGCACATTTTCTAACTGCTCAGCGAGGAGCATCTGTATAATAGCTTCTTATCATTATGGAATAGATTAAGGATTAATAAAGCATTACTTACCATCTGCAGTGGCATGGATAATCAAAAATTTAGCTTTATTCGATAAGGACTCACGAACGGTTATTTTGGCCAACTGTGGAAATACAGATTAAAAGAGACTATCTTCAGTAAAAGAAGAGAAAATTGGCTTTACAGAAATGACTGATAAGCTACAACAGAAAATCACACAGGCCCTCTGATTTGAATGGAACAAAGGATATAGATTTCAGACAAATTGAATAGCATCCTATTTTAGCTGGGTAGCTGCATGCAAAAATCCTGCTTTTATTTTATTGCTCAGAAATATCAGAGCATTTGAGCTGTAACCAATTATGCCATTTGATAGGGTTTTAATTAAAGCGTTTTAAACTCAAGCTCAAAAACGTAATACATTGCAGCTTGCCAGTCGTTAGATGTTGTGGCTGCATTCAATTTTCTTCCTTTCATTTTACCTGCTGATACTGCCAGTAACACACTGCCTGTCCTAGGGTGACAAAACTCACTGTACTATAATTATCTATGGAGGAGCAACACCGTCACCCATGGATGCTCTCTTTATTTGAACTACAAACATCTCCACTTCTCATCTCTATACCATATGTGGATGTGTTATGTTGTCCACAGAGGGTAGTTGGGAAAGCTGATGACACTGTTTGAGATTTCAGCTCAGTGCACTTGAAGTTACAGGTAGTAATGAGCGCAAAGTTTGTTCAATGGCGTCACCCGAGATCCCTGTCAGCTTGTTTACAATGTGAAACAAACAGGTGGACAGGAAGTCATTCATTTAGTGGAGGTGGTATTACCGCCACTAAACAAACTACTTCCGGGTGAAGCAGCCAGAGGTTGGGGGTGGGCAAACTGGCCAAATCTGACCTTTTAGTTCACCCGCTGCTGAACCTCGAACAACTCAGGTTTGGGTCAAACTCATGGTAAACCAGAAGCCAAAGCTCATTCCGAGCTACAAGGGCACAGGATTTCTGACAGGATTTACAGGTATTTTTCTGCACTTGCAGAGAATGTACTTCAACCAACTAATTCAACTCAATCTTCAAAAAATCATCCGCACGAAGACCAACGTAAGTGCAATCCAAAATTTTATTGAAGTAAAGGGCCTCTATGATTAAGCCCAGGTGGTGAAACACGTGAACGGCGTTGGTGTGGGAGAGACTCATGGTGGTGCAAATGTTGCATAACATATTTTGGATTTCATTTTGGATTTAGTTTTTTGGATTTACTTCAATAAAATTTTGGATTGCACTTACATTGGTCTTCGTGCGGCGAATTTTTTGGAGATTGACTTGCAGGGCAGGGAGCACATTGCAGCCTGCGCCCAGCGTATGTATTAACTGCAGCCGGAGATAGAACCGGAGCGGTGAGCTCACAGAGTCCTTGAAATTAACTAATTCAACTACCACAAATAATTCAACCACCACAAATAAGAACTGGTAAGCTATAATATGTACATTTTTTGTTCATAATATCAGGTCGTGCTTCTTCTGAGTGTAAGCTGCAGCAACACCTGTGATAAATATTTTAAATTCCTTCATAGCAGCACATATATCTTCAGATTGCAAATAATAATAAAAAAAGAAGACGTACCTCATATGCGCCATTATCCATAGTATGTAACCCCAGGTATCTCTCAGAAAAGGCAGAAGCTGGAAAATATAGTGTGTAATAATTTATGGGATTAATAATGATAGTATACTACAATCATACCTTTACAATGCAGTCGCAGATAAGGCAAGCACATTACTACAGTGTTAACATAAAATCCAAACAGAAAATTAAAGGATACTATAATAGTTTGTGAAATATTTTGCCTCACAAAATTATATTGAAAATTTTAAAAAATGAATAGTCTGAATATATTTTTATTATTTGCAGGGTGCTCCTATGATACCCTTTCTGCAGTGTATGCTGGACTTTCTAAGAAGAAAGTCCAGCACCAGTTTTGCCCTTGTTGACTGCTCCTGTATGTCCATTTAATTTTATGTTGTGCTGCACTGTAAGCTACTAATGTGCTTTACACATCTGCGTTCTGTTGCCGTGTGTTATTGCATGTGTGTTACATCTCACATTAGTATGCACTGGCATTCATTAAGAATGGGATGCCAACATACTGCAACAAATAATGCAGCATGTGCGATAGATTGGATTAGGAAGGATCAATGAAATCATCCAAATCTGTAGTCAGATGATTTTGTTTAATTATCTTTGTATGTGAATCTCAATGCCAGTGCAATATAATTTGGTCACCTATAGATATAAGATTGGGAGAATGGGAAACAATTGCATGCAAGCTGTGTACAACACCTGGCTGGAATAATGCCGGAGAAGGATGGTGGAGGAAGAATCGAGGGGGACCTGATGGAGAACTTCAGGTCCCTCTGCTGATTGACAGCAGCAGTGGGCGGGTGCAATAGCTAGTTTGCTTTTGGCTATTGCAAATTGAAATAGCCAATAGGAATCTAGCCATGCATTCCTATGGTGATTTTTATTTTTTATTAGCGTGACGGCAGCCAACGGCTCCGATGTCAGAAGAAAAAAAAAACAGAGCATGGAAAGGTTCAGTCTGGGAGAAAGTGTTTCTCTCCCGGACGGCCGGGAGCCACTGTCTAATAGCGGGAGACTCCCAGAGCGCCCGGGAGAGTTGGGCTGTCTGGAGATCAGCGTTCCAGGTTACCTGGTAACCAGGGACACTGATCTGTCGGTGCAAGTGGCCAAAGCCAGCCGTGAGATGACGGCTGGCTCTGCCCAGCAGTCAGTAGCAGGCTGTTGGCCGGCCGTTCGGCCAGCTTCGGATTTCACCTCGGCTCAGTCGAGCCGAAGCATATGCCTTCGGCTCAACTGAGCCGCTCGGCCGACTTCGGGAGCTGTATGGTCTATAGTGAATAGCCCGTACGTACAGCAGCTCTTCGGTTCTACTGAACGGAAGAGGTCCTGGGGCCGAAGCTAGCCAAAGGATCAGCCGAAGCTATGGCTAGATCCTTCGGCAGCTTAGTGAATAGATCCCATAGTGTCAATGACCCCTTAAGGTAAATAATAGGATGTTACCAAGCTCAGATTCTGTGTTCTCTGTATTTATTACACACTCACCGTAGAGTTTAAAATCCGTTATTGGAGAGAGTGAAGCTCCACATGTGAAAAGGTCATCTGCTGTTAAAGTGATCAGACGGGAGCTCAAGTATCCTCCATATGCCTAAGTGTTACAAAGAGAGGTTAACATTTATAAATAAGATATTTTTCGAATAATAGTAAGACCAGTAAGTCTGTCCTTCACATACAAACAAAAACTTTGCTCTCAACAAAAGAAGAAATGGTATTTTTGATGCTGGGAAAGCAAGAATCACATTTCTGGGATGCTGTTCTCAGTTATCTTAAACAGACAGTTGGTAGGTTGCTGAATATCTGGATCCAAATAAGCATATTATATTCAAATAAGAGGTTTTTAAGGGTCGGTCCATTGTAAAAATACATTTATAGGTGACATATGGTGGACTGAGTCATCTCCTGGCTTCTTGTGTCAGGTTGGAGTCTCACTCTCCACTGGTTTTCTTGTGTGTATCCACTTCCTTCTCCTAGAGCTTTTTCCGTAATACAAAAGTAAATGTACAGAGAAACTCCCCTGTATTTACCACAGCAGGTGTGAGGACTGGGTAATCAAGCTAAACTGCAGGCAAACATCTAGATTTGTGGCTAAAATACAAATAGAGATGCACACAACTCGGCCAGACAGTAGAGCCAGGTGACCTGCTTCTTCTCTGCTGCAGTTAAGCAAAATAGCATGGTCACCTCCCTGCTCCCAGCCTGTGATTGGATAATGAAAAAGCATTGGCACGAAAAGGAGGTCATCTGTTCTCTTCTTTCATCATATACCTTTTTAGCGCATATAGTATGAATGCAGCACACCTAATTGGTTCTTACTACTTCCCCCTTCTCTCTAGTCTGAGTTCTTTTTGTATGGAGCATTACAAGAAGCTGAAGTATCAGCTTTGGGTGGAATGAGCCTTTAATACAATATAAAATGTAAAGAGGATTGATCATTTTTCGTTCTTTAAGTTCAAGGAGCTCCCAACTCTACACATCAAATGCATCAATTTTCAAAGGCTCCTTCTTAAACCCAACACTTGGAGCTATACCTTTTAGATAGGACAAACACGGTATACTGGCCACATAATGGTAAGAAAGCACTCAATGGAGAAGACACACATTAGGGGCAAGGATGGCAGTGGCTAAGGGTGGCTGTAGATGATCCGTTATCTCCTCCCAATGTTTTCGATGTCAGTCAGTTGACACAGTGGGACCCAAATACTCAACTAATAATAACAGTAGTGGACCTGTACCACTTTACTCTTTATTCTTCTACTCAGAACAGAGCTGTTCACTTGAGGTTTTGCAAGTCGCTTGTTATTGCCCCCTAGGAGGTCAGAACTGTCTGGGAGTAATGATGTGAAATATTCGATAGTTTCCAAACAGATTTCAGTTCAGATAGAACAATGGAAGATGACTTAATTAATCAATGTACTTAAATCTTGTAGGAAGCAGATGAACAAGGCCTCACAATTGCATCACAGCCAACCAAAACCCCGATGACTGAATTCTAATTATTCACCCACCCTGAGAACTTTTTTTGTGCCATCACATTTTTATTGTAGCCAATCAGTTTTCTGATGGTCAAAAGAAAACCCTCAAAATTAGCCCCCATCTCCCCATGTTGAGCTACCTTTCCATAAATCCAGGTATAAGAATACAGGCATATTGCCCAGGGAAGGTTATTCATACATTCTAAGTGTCATTATGTACCTATCTCATCTACACCTTTTGCTAATATCCCTTGTATAGTGCTAAATAAACAACCTACAATTACCACTTTCATCTCCATTGTTCAAGATACTACTCTCACTAATCTCCTTCTGTTCATTTATTTTATGACTCAGTATGCTAAAATTCTTTTCACATCTATTTCCAACAGATTATTAAAACAGATTGGATTTGTAGTATCAATAATTTCATGTTTATTACACTATAAGTGCTCTCAACAATTCATAATGACAACGAATTGTTCACTGAGCTCTCCAGCTCTGACAAGGTATCAAGCCCGTAAATTCCAATATAATGCACTCGCTTTCTGTAATTTAAAATAGAACTGCTGTTTTCATTGTTTTGTTCCCATGTGCCAAACAGTCTAAAGCTGGCCATATGCTAGATGGACATTAAAATAATTCTTTACAATCCAATTTTCCTATGCTGGCAATGGACAACCATATGCCTCCCTGAGAGGCAGGGGCCATGATGCAGCAGCCTGTCCTCAAAAGACACAATTTGTATTTCTGTCAATCCAGTCCTGAGATTTACACAGCTCTTTCAAAATAGCACAGCCCTGTCTAGCAGAGCCAGACAATTGATTTTTCTCTGCTCCTATTAAAGTGACATTAAAATTAGGACTTAGCTATTAACAAATATGTATCTTATTTGTGTATCACGAAGCTGAAGATCCTCAAATCATCCCTGAATTCGTGCTGGCACTGTCTTTCCTTCTGGAGGGGGGCTACTTTTGTTCCCCGTGGTCCGTGTGTGTGTGTGTTATAAAGTATAAAGAGTTATGGACACCGGCACTCCAAAGTAGAAAAACGTCTTTTATTGACTCATCATGCAACAATACACTGACCAGGTGTGCGTGCTTATGAGTTGCTGCCATGTGATTGGCTGATTAGATATTTGCGTTAACGAGCAGTTGAACAGGTGTACTTAATAAAATGGACAGTGAGTATATATTGTGCAGCACTGATATGCTGTGTTTCTATACTTTTAATATACCTCTTGGGTTGGGCATGGTATGCCTAAAAACAGGGTGGTAAGATACTGTTATTTATTTAAGTATTGATGAGAACACACACATTCTTTGTAATATTTTACAGTAACATGATTATATTTGAACTCGGATAACTAGAGTCTGGGAATATGATGCATATATTTATAGACCACTGACCTGTCCACGTTACATTATCTGCCTTGTATTACAATGTAATATTGTTTATATGAACAAGAAGCACTGGTATTAGCAAGTAACAATTTCAGTTAAAGGGCAAGTCTACTCTCATAATGAAACTTCAGTTATTGGCAGATGCTGGGGTTTTGAAGCCCAACTGCAGCCAATTTTTATTGTTTTGGATATAAAGGGTAAGGTTTAGAACCTCTGTTAAGTTTAAAATGCTAACTAGGTCTTTCTAATTAAATTTTTGTGTCAGATATTATATGATGTCTTTGTCCTTATAGAAGAAATTTCTGCCCCTTCCTGTTCTGTATGATACCCATCACCTGGTCAGGAAGTGAGGGGACATCTGCCTCTCTATCTATCAAAAGCACTGGAAATAGTGAGATTTTCCCTCACCCCTGTTGTGTCTGACAGCCAGATCAGCAGGAAGTAAAGAAAAATCTCCCAAATGGGGAAAAATAGAAACTAAAACCTGATACTGTATACGTCCTAAACCTTCCTCCCATACACAAATGATTTGGATTTAGGCTTTAATCACCAACAGTTTCCTTTATCTCTAAAATATCAACAACAAATGGGTACCATTCCATCTGTTGGAGGAGGGAAAACAATGGAAAGTCGGAACATCCAGCATTCCAAGGAGGGTGGGAACAGATATCTAATTATAAAGTAGTGAATGTGACTTTCACCAAACATTCTCTTGTGGAGAATCACTCATGTAATTTAAAACACATGAACCTGAAAGATTTTCCTCCAGAGAATATTTGGTGAAGTCACGTTCACTGCTTTATAAAAAGACTTATAGACACAACTTCCAAAAAGTGACCTAAAGCAGAACTACAGACACAGAGGGGTCTATTCAAGAAGCTGCCGAAGGATCTAGCCGTAGCTTCGGCCGATCCTTCGGCTAGCTTCGGCCCCAGGACCCCTTCGGTTCAGTAGAACCTAAGGGGTGCTGTACGGGCTATTCAATATAGCCTGTACAGCTCCGAAACATGGCCGAGCAGCTCAGTCGAGCCGAACGCATACTGCTCGGCTCGGCCGATCCTGCTTCTGACAGCTGGGCGGAGCCAGCCGTGATCTTACGGCTGTCTCCGGCCACTTGCAGAGAGATCAGCGTCCCTGGTTACCTGCTAACCAGGGACACTGATCTCCAAACAGCAAACACTCCCGGGTGCTCAGGGAGTCTCCCACTCCCGGCCTCCCTGGAGAGAAACACTGCTGTTTCTTTTTTTTTTTTTTTTTTCTGACATGGAGCCGTGTCAGAATAGAAAACAAATTTAAAAAATGTGCCCATTGGAATGCATTGCTAGGCTCCTATTGGCTATTTCAATTTGCAATAGCCAATAGTAAACTAGCATTGTACCCGCCCTCTGCTGCAGTTCTCCATCTGGTCCATCAGCAAAGGGCGAGTACAATGCTAGTTTACTATTTGCAAATTGAAATAGCCAATAGGAATCTAGCAATGCATTCCAATGGGCAAAAATTATTATAATTTTTTTTCTATTCTGACACGGCTCCGTTATTTTTTTCGTTTTTTTTTTACGGCAGCAGAACCGCCGGACAATAGAAAACTGTTGGGCGGAGCTAGCTGTCATTGCTAGCTCCGCACAATCGTTTTCTATTTACTTTTCAAAAACTTTAAAAACTATTTTTCTGTTCTGCTCGGTCCCTCTGAGGGAGCGAGCAGAACAGCCGAGCCGAATGCCGCTCAGCAGCAATCGGCTATTCACTCACTGCTGTTCGGCATCTATAAGAATAGGCCGAACAGCAGTGAGTAGCCTGCCGGAGGTTCGGCTCAGCCGATCCAGATGTTGGATTGGCTGAGTCGAACTCCTTCTGCACTTCGGGTCAGCCGAACATGCTGAGCATGTTCGGGCGACCCAAAGCCATGCGAAGCAAGCCGATTTATGGCTGATTTCAGCCAATATACGGCTGAAATCAGCCGTACCAGCCTTAAGTTTATAGCCGAATGGTGTTCGGCTCACTTCACTTCAGGTCGGTCATTCACTAGGCTGCTTATGGCAACTTAGTGAATGGACCCCAGAGTAAAAATACCCCCTGGATGCTTCACATCCCCCACTATTACATAACCTGTAGAAACTTTAAAAAATATATATTTTCTTTACCACCTTTTTTAATGCTTCATTACTGACCTTCTGCCTTTATTTATGGCTGCATCTGCATTGATGCCATCAATGCTA